CAGCCTTTGTATCCATCGGGGGGGAAGCTAATCCCCGAAAGTCGTATTTGTTTCCGTCGGTGGGGGAGAACTCTAATCTCCCTCTCGTGGCTTCCACAATGCTAGGTCAAAGTAGAAAGATAAAGCAAATATGTACAGAAAGGCAAGACCCTCCTCGCGCGTTGGCCGCGACGTCACGGAAACGGTGGGACGCTATTGGATGCGGAGGTGGCGGAGGAATATCTGATTCCCTTTGAGGGGCATTTGCCGCTACCTTCTTAACCTGTAACTGACTATAGGCGGACTGGAGTGAGTGAGGGGGAGTACCCCCCTCCGCGGGAGTTCCACAACTGAGGTAATCTAATAACGTTGGCTGGGGAGTCGGGGGTGGCACCCCTGTAACCCTTTCCACCGTATCTGTTTGGGCTCCGAAATGGTCGATTGAAGCCAAAATGGATGTCACGTGCAGTTCCTCGAGTGACCACTGCGGGAGGAATTTCGGTGTTGTGATCGCCATTTGTCGCTTCAGCTGTGTTCTTTGGAACACACAGTTATGAAACGAAAGTATCGATAACGCTTCGAACGACAGCTGGCGGATTGAAGTGAGTGAAGGGGGGGGGGGGGGGAGGGGTGCCCCCCTTCGCAGGAGTTCCACAACTGAGGTAATCTAGTAACGTTGCCCCCTGCGCAGGAAGCAGACGAACTAACCCTCCGAATAGACCAACACGCAGTTTACAAACAAGCCAATGGTGGCCCACACAGTGTGTCGACACTGCGCCTGCGCAGAAAAGCCAGACTCGTGTGAGGCGAAGCGTCTGTGCCGCGCCGACAACAGCGCCACCGCAGCGGGGTGGCGTTAAAGCCGCGTCTTCGTGTATACCGTGTGTACCAAGGTTAGTGTATACGCTTCAAATCAGTTGGAAAACTGCCATTGGAGCCTGCCTTGAACAAGTGGCTCCGATCCGTACTCGAAAACCGATCAGGACGCTATCGCAACGCCGCCGTTTCTCGCGCAGGGGCCGCTCCGGGAACTGCACGGCTGCACGTATCGAGTCGAGTGGCGCAGGGGCCGGTGTCACCACCTCTCGGTGCCATCTCGCGGTTGCTATATAAAGCAATTTTCATGGCTTGACTCGCCTCTAAAGGGAGACGCGGTAATCGTATCCAGTTAGGCCTCGGTGGTGACGAGCGGTACGGGTTTCAAGGTTGACTGTCACAACTGAGCGTTTTAGCAACGTTGGCCTCAGGATAACGATCCTCTAGCCATCTTCGTCTTTAAAACCATTGTTACCCGTTATCGCGCGCTTTATCTGAAATGACCCCTAGGAATCGCTCTTTCGTCCTCCAGAAGAGTTCAAATGATACTCGACAGAGAAACACGTCGCAGTAAGCCGCATTTTTCTTTAATTTCTTAATCGCAGCGATCACCGTTTGTTCCTTGTCTGCAGTAAGCACCAAGATGGCAGCAGCCCCTAGAGTATCAAACAACGGAGCGCGGAAGGCCGTAGTTCGTTTAGTGGTTCTTGCTTCTCTGAAGCGTAGCTGGCTTGGTGCCTCCAAAGGAAGCGTTGCGGAGGTCTGCCGTCAGAAGGCGCACCAGCAGTCGCAGACCTGTCTGTGGCTACCGTGAAAAAAGACTTCTATGTAACGCATTAGTTGTACCTAGTTACTTTCTTCCGTAATAAAGTAACAACCTAGATACTTTTAACAAAAGGAACAATTAATGTAGTTTGGTCATTTTTGAAGAAGCAACGGGTAACGGTGTTTTCTTGCTTCTGGAGGGGAACGTCTAAACGCAAGTACCCAACTTACAGCTGTCACTCCAGTTCGTGCCTGTAACTTGCGCGACGAGGAAACGCTAGATAGACCATAAAAAGATGTGTACAGGGTATGCCAGTATAACCACGGTTATCCCCAAATGGGCGCGTTAAAAAGCGAGGAATAATTAATGACGACAAATATTGGAAGCGGCTACTGGTTCATGAAAACGACCCATTCAGAGTAACTAGAAAGTAACGCGTTACCGTTCAAGCTGATGAAACGCGATCCTTTTAAATCCCAGTAAAGCATAACGTATATTTATTTACTTTTGAATGAGTAACGAGCAATATTTGCTTAGTTTATTTGAGAGACGCGTACATGTCTGTCTCACGGAATGGCATATATTTTAAGCCCTCTTATCTTGGCTAAAAGTTCTTGCTCGTCGCTTTGGCGAGATACCCTTCTTTAAAAAGGGATCGAATATCCCCTCGGCTGGCGGCAACGTTCTCGCGTAAGAAGCACGCCGGCCCAACTCGTTCGCCATGGCCGACTTAACTTGGAACGTGACGAATTTCCTGCTCCTGGTGCTGGTACCCGGCGTCCTGTTCTGGGTGTTCAAGCGTCGTCACGCTCACGGGCTGTTTCGACGACCCGGCATACCGGGGCCCAGTCCCGAGCTTCTCTGGGGCAACTGGAACCAACTCAAGAAGGATCGCCTCCAGGTACTACTCAAACTTGTTGACTGTAACACGCGACCGACATTAGGGACTTTTAGACAAACCGTTACCGGTACCGCACTTCGAAGCCTTATTGAAGCGTGCTTTTACGCACGCACCCGGGTGATACCGTGACCGCGGGGCGCGCGGTTAAAAGCATACTTCAAAGGCTCCGCGGTTCTGCGGTACGGGGAACACGTTAACGGTGTGCTAAAAGTCCTCATTAGCAAGTTTTAGTAGACCGTGTTTCCCGCTCCGCTAAGCCCCTCCGCTACCCGGAACTCTACACCCAAGGCCATCGGCGCGCAGGCGCAGTGGCGCTTTCTTCGTAGCGGAAGGCTAGCGGAGGGGGAAACACGGTCTAATAAAACTCCCTATTGTCTTCTTTCAGCGATCGTCAGTATTTAAAATACGTGTATATATAAAATAATTTTAGTATTTTGTGTTTGTTACTTAATTTCATATTTGCGTGATGCATTCGTAGGTTGTATTTAGTTAAACAAATACCGTATTTTCTGGGCTATAGTCCGCATTCGGTGCATAGTTCGCAACGGCAAAATTGGGGTTAAAAATAAAAGTTCTTAGATAGTCCGCACCTGGTGCTTAGAGTCTTATGGTGAATTCCGCTCGCAGATCTCGAGCGCTCCAAAAGCGCTCCATTGGGAGCGCGGATATTCCGCTCGCAGATCTGGCTCAAGTTGGTCATCTTCCGCTCGTAGATCTCTGGCAGCGCCCGCTCCACGGAGCGCCCCAAACTCCGCCGAACTTGCTCTGCGGGTTTTCACGGATCTCTCCGGAAGCTGACAGAGCGGCCCACGTGATTTCCGTCTAAATCGGCGGTGCGCATGCGCGGCGAGGTTGGAGAGATCGGCGGGCCGGTCGGGTCGTGGAGTTGGATCTGTTCGGGTGCGTCGGGTGTTTACTCTGGATTGTGACGGCTCGAACGCTTCTACCTCGCGTAGATCAGGGATAAAAAGCCGGGAATGTGGAGCGTGGCAAATCGTAAGCGCTGACGTTTGTGATCGTGAGAGGAAGAACAAGAAAAAGAACGACAGAAAAGCCGGAGGCAGACGCAAGGTTAGGCCTATTCATTCTTCAGCCAGTGATTGTTTACCCTTTTACACTGCATTCCGTCGGCGTTTTTCCGTGAAATAAAGCAAGAAGTGGTTAGGCAACGACCGCGCAAGTGATGGTTTGTTACCTGTGTTTTGTTAAAGTCGTACTACAAATCTGAACTCCACCGCTGGCAATCGCTGCATGTCCGTGCCCCGCCGCTTCGAGGTGGCCGAAAGGTATGTGACGGTGCCGAACGCGGACGTCTTCGTTATTTGTGACATGGGCGCCGCGGTACGTATAATTTCGCCCGGCCTGTGTCGCGTGTTACTCCTGCAGCTAAGCAGTGACAGTCGTCACTAGTCGTCGGAAATATCAGCCGGCTGAGGCGTTGGTGGGCTTGTCAAGTTCGAGCAGCGGCCATTTTGTACGGCGGAGGGAGAAGGGGTGGGGAGGGGGGGTGTGGGGGAGATCGCTCCAAAAATGCAAGTTTATCTTCCCCTCGTCGATTCGGAGCGGGTCCCACGGAGCAAAATTTTGCCTCCCTCGCGGATTTTGGAAAGCGCTCCAGATCTACGAGTGGAATTCACCATTAGACGACACGAAAACCTTCTCATACACGGCACACCTCGACAAATGTCTGCTTTCTTAGCTCACAAAGAAGCTTGAATCATACATAAATCATCATTAGCGTTCTCTTTCATCCAGAGAAACCTTAACTTCCCGTCATATCGCACAATCTTAAAAAAACGAAATGCCTGTATGGTCCGCACGCGTAGATAGTCTGTAGAGCCTAAAATTTCAACTTTTAAACATGTAAAGTCCGCGGATATAGCCTGGAAAATACACTCTAAATGTGATTACTCATGACATGCGGCACAAAAGTGCATCTTTTGTGCCGCTTGATTTATGCGTAATTATGTTACTCATGCGAACGTTACTCATCCCATGAGTAGCAGGACGTTACCCATCCCATGAGCAAAAACGGTTTCCTATGTTTAAAACCTCCTCACCACTCCCCCCCCCCCCCCCCCCCCCTACGTGCGAGGGGGACCAGTGAAAGAGTGGCGAGAAAATTTTCCCGCCTTTGAATGTTTCTTGCAGGCCTGGATTTAAGAGCAGCGCTGATCCCCGAGCTCTTGTGAGGGTGCTACTGGGTTCGGCATGCTGTCAGCTTGCCCACCGGACCTGGGAATTAATATACCTATCATTTAAAGATGACGCGTGATCCTCAACCGCAATGATGACGAAATTCTTATAGCTTGCTCTCCAAATAAACTGGAAATGGGGACGCAGCAAGTTGCCTGGCGGTTCGATGGCAACTTTATAGTGAATGCAGAGAAGCGGGATGAAATCTATTCGCCAACAACCTCCCAGGTGCCAGACGGGCTTGCTGGAAGGGCAAAAATAACTGTTTGGCATGAGAGAAGCAATACTATACTTGAAAGAACTTTATTCCAAACAAATTTTATCACATCTCGGGATGATATGCTTGTCGCAATTTCTAACTTAGAACTACACCTTATTTTACTCAAACGAACTTTGAAATAAAAGTACTAGAAAATTTCGCAAAGGAGGAAGATCTGTACTCTTGTCAAGAACCAGAATAGCGCTCAATTTGTTAAGCTACTTCAAATACTGTTTGCAAGCACTTATCAGGGAGCAGAGGCGAGCTGATTGGTAACCTCTGTCGAACCTTGACCCCCGTTTTACAATGAATGTTTGCAAAAACCCTAAAAGCTGCCCATAGGAAGATGGATAGCTCAAGTTCAAAATATAATAAACACCCAGCAGAAGGACAGACGCCTTGAGGTCGGAGCAGGTGCTTGGTAAGTTGACCACCTGGGGACTGCTTCCGGGACAGAGAATACCCTTTGTTTTGGACCCCAGAAAGGCTTTCGGTCCTGGGCATCCTCTCTCAACTGTCGGAACGTCTTCCTGGAAACAAAGTGCCCAAAGCTCTAATAAAATAGCTGCTACCCATCTTCACGCTCTCACTCTATAGCTGCGCTCAGCGTCAATGTGGGCTTAAATTTAATTATCTTGATTCGAAGTCAGTTAAAGAGCATTGCTTTTTGGGTAGTCAAATGGCCGAGTTATGGGCGGTATTATCACTGAGCAAAAAGCAAAATGTCAGTATGATAGCTTTGAACCCACAGTCTTAAAAAGTATCTACGCGACTATACTTCCCTGCCGAGCACTGGGTAAGTCTATTACCGTGGTCCATGAAAGACATCTGACGAATGACAATGCCGCAGGTATGCCTAGACATAAAAATGATGTCTCTCATGGGAGACTGAGCATGACTGGACAGGTAAATCGTCGTGCTCAGTATCCCAATGCACACTTCATTTTCACGCTAAGCATATTTGCGATCTTTTGATTCATTGAATTCATTTCGTACATCACGCTGGTTTGTCCACCGAGCACTCTGCGGGAATGTAGTCGCGCAGCTATTTTTAAAACGCAACGAGGAGTGTATTAAATTTCATGTCAATGCAAGCCCCCATAAAAAATGCTTGTTCCTAATACCGTGTTTCTAACATGGCCATTACATGAAGCGTTTATCTTATTAGTAAATTTGACTGACCGTGCTCAAAGCATCATCGCGGGATGATCTTGACCGCAGAAAGGCTTGAACGTCCATCAGTGTTGCTTGGCGTATCCCGTGATCCTTGCCGAAGCCCTCCAGTATGCTGGTGCACACGCCTTTCATGCTTGTAAAACTCATGGCGAAGTGCAGCTCGCATTCTACCAGCAGCTATCCAAGAGAGTAGACAAAGTTCATTCTTACGGTAAACATAGTCAACAATGCTCTAAAAAGAGCAGCCTGTATGATTTGGTCGGCGTGCGTACTAGAATGAAATACAAAATGCTCACTTACGCATTCAGCATTCAAGAAGTAGACTGGAAGTTTGTCCAAGACGGTGCCTTTCCTCTCTTCAAATGTCACTTTGAGGAGCATGACTACATATGGCACATTTACTGAGGCTGGGCACTTGACAGCAGAGTCGATGGATTGAAAGAGGGAGGGGGGTGTGAGGCATTGAATGCTGGAATGCCCATAAGAGAGCCAGAAGACAAATTTACCTCCAGTTCCTTGAGAGCATCTGGGGTGGACTGCTGCGCTAGAGTGTCTACATCATACTGATCCGCTCCATTGTTTGCCTGCGCCTTGTTTTTTTTTTCTCGTGCGTACCTCATCTTTCGCCTCGCTGTTAACCGGCACATGAATACACTCTGCCAGAAGTCAAAACAGATGTTTTAGGAACCCTCCCTGATACCATTCGAAGCACGGGGCAGTGGTAATTAAACAGTTGAAAATGTATTTACCCAGAGACGTGTCTGTCTCGTTGAGAGCTTGGTCCCAGGTTTCGGTCGGTCCCAAAGCATGTCCGGGTATTTTTGTGCCAAAGTTGACCCAAGCAATGAATATTGCACTCTTCTAAGTGCCGTATTGGCCTCCTTAACGACATTGTTTTCACTGTACGAAAAGAAGTGCAGCAAAACTAGAACACTTTTCTTTAACAGCTTTGCAATATCAAACTCAAGAAGCTTGAGCTCTAACCAAAACCAGCCAAAAGAATAGCGAAACAGATGAGGCGAAAGCGTCGTCACTGAGCTCGAAAAAGCCACTCGTGCTCCTAATGGAAATAAGTACATCGGGAGCGCACTCGGGTTTCGGTCGCCGAAGGTGCTCCTGTCCGCTCAGTGAATCGTGCGCCGGCCGAACGCGCGCGATCCGTGACAGAGTCTGAGCGCAGCAACGTGAGGCGCGGTCAAGACCAGCCCTGTTTCCACAAACTGACTCACCTAAAGTCCCGTGCTGTGCTGGTGGATGGCCACAAATCAAGCACCAACCGGCCGGACAGTCCGCATATCCAAATGCGTCCTCACGGGTCACAAAAGCCCCACACGAGCAGTCCAGGGACGCGCAGGAGCCGCGAGTGGTGCCGCCGAGGTCGGTGTTCGTTAGGCCTGGCCTGACTGACATTGTACAGGCTGCCTTGTCAGAGGAGTGTCTGTATGGATATACCGAGGTCAGAATAACAAAAGCGAATCCAAGGATTATGCCGCTTCGTACTCACCTTTCTTGAAAAAGTTATGCCCGCCGCAGCGGTCCCCGGTCTCCAAAAATTATAGCAAACAAACGTCCCCTTCTCGGAGAGTTTCGCTTCCCGGCACCCGTGTTATTTTCTTTATTTTATTTTTTGCTTCCATGGCTGCTCTTTGTTCGTAGACGACTTTTCGCGAAAAGCTAGATTTAGCGGCATTACATTTTGCAGGTCTTCGTGGTCCGCATGAGGAACAATGCGAAAGCATGGATAACGATTCGCGAGTGAAGCGATTCGTTACCCATGAAGCTCTCGTTTTTCACGTGTTACTCATGAGGCAGCTATCTATGCCAGTGCTTCGGAAATATATCACAAAAAGAGGTTTGATTTTGTTACTCATTACCATGAGTAACAGTGTGCGAATCAGTAACAACATGAGTAACCTGATTTAGAGTGTATGGAAGGTACTTGGAAGTCCCTGGTAGTTATTAATTATCTCAAATACGATAGCCATTGCGGGAGCGGATGATATGTCTCGATGTTTAGTCAGCCGAAGGTCAATCTGTTTATGAGATATGGCAACAGGGCGATTTCAGTTAAGATCGACCAAAGAGTGGCTGGTCGACATTTTTAAATCAACTGATGTTTTTTGTTTAGTGTCTAGTATAAACAAATCCAAACTTAGTTTTGACCAGAAAAAAATATTTGGGGACACGAAAAATCGTAAGGCACTATTCCTCTATTCGATATATTCGATCCATTTTTAAAGAAGGGTATCTCGCCAAAGCGGCGAGCAAGAACTTTTCGTCAAGATAAGAGGGCTTATAATATATGCCATTCCGTGAGACAGACATGTACGCGTCTCTCAAATAAACTAACCAAATATTGCTCGTTACTCATTCAAAAGTAACTAAATATACGTTATGTTTGACTGGGATTTAAAAGGATCGTGTTACATCAGCTTGAACGGTAACACGTTACTTTCTAGTTACTCTGAATGTTTCGTTTTCACGAACCAGTAGCCGCTTCCAGTATTTGTCGTTGTTTATTATTCCTCGCTTTTTAACGCGCCCATTTGGGGATAACCGTGGTTATACTAGCATACCCTGCACACATCTTTTTATGGTCTATCTAGAGCTTCCTCGTCGCTCAACTTACCGGCACGAGCTGGGGCGAGAGTTCTAAATTGGGTACTTGCGTTTAGACGTTCCCCTCCAGAAGCAAGAAAACACCGTTACCCGTTGCTTCTCCAAAATAACCAAACTACATTACTTGTTCCTTCTGTTACAAGTAACTAGGTTGTTACTTAAGTACTGAAGAAAGTAACTAGGTACAAGTAACGCGTTACGTATACTACACTCTTTTTTCACGGTAGCCACAGACGGGTCTGCGACTGCTGGTGCGCCTTCTGACGGCAGACGACCGCAACGCTTCCGCTGGAGACACCAAACGAGCTACGCGCTTCAGAGAAGCTAGAACCACTAAATGAACTACACGCATCCGCACTCCCTTTTCTTTTACTCTAGCGGCTGCCGCCATCTTGGTGCTTACTGCAGACCAGAAACAAACGATGATCGCTGCGATTAAAAAAAAAAAAAGAAAAAGAAATGTGCGACTTACTGCGACGTGTTGCTCTGTCGCGTGCCATTTGAACAGAAGGACGGAAGAGCGATTCTTAGCGGTCATTTCTGATAAAGCGCCAGAAAAATTGTAAGACAACTGTCCACCTCTTACGAAAAATCGTAAGAGGTGAACAGTGGCATTAACGCGCACTGATGGAGGGGGCACGTTTGAGAGTGAATAACAAAACCAGTAACATTAGGAGAATTCTTATACTTTTAGACGCAAACTATGGGTACAGCTTGCTTGTAATATGAAGTAATAGTATTTATTTAAATTTTATTTATTTTTCTCAAAATTGACAAACACATATGCCTGTTCGAACGACAAATGGCAAAATTTGGAGGCCTGTCTCTCATGAACTAATTTAATGATTACTATATAGTTTACACATAGTATTCTACCTATATATGGCTAATATTTAAAAATAAATAAGGTATCTGAGCTATACGATAGTCAGTATATATTTAGGCAAACGGGAAAAAAATCAAACAACAAAAACTTCCCGATGCAAATAAAAAAAAAACACCTTCGACTTTTTTTTTTAATTGGGTATCCTGTTATACTCTATTTCGGCATTCATTTCTATTAAAACATGTTGCATTATTTTATTGGCAAAGAAGAAACAACTCCCCAAAGAAGAGTCCATTTTCAAAGCCTTCACCTAGCCGTGCCCCATACAAGAAGTGACTCTGAGTTCCAGCTTCATGAAACCAACACACATCTTTCATATCTTTTTATTCAGATGAGGCCATCAATAACTATAGCAATCGTTCACACAGTAAAAGTGAGACGAAACTACTGTGTACGAAAAGCTATGATATTACGAACTAGTGATCCGAGAAAAGATCCTGCAGCCATCGGCCACTGAACTTCGTTTACTTTATTTTCCTACGGCACTATATGCTCCTCTCTTTTCGCCTCTATCTCCATCTCTTTCTTTCTTATATATATATTCCTGACTTATATCTAGAATAAAAACATATTTAAGCATTCCCTTTCTGCGTAGTAGTGATTCTGTGGCTAGCAATAGTCATTTTCCCGCGAAGATCACGATTATGGCGCAATAGTTGACGGAAGTAGCAGGCGACACCCGTCGGATAGTTCTGGAAAAGCGGCCGAAACGACCTTTCTTCGCATTTCCCGGCTCGCTGTCACGGTTGAGGGGGTTTACTTCAACCAGCAAAATATGGCCGCCGATGCCTGTTTACTGAGCAGTCGTGTTTGTCGCCATCCCACTCGCTGGCTTCGCCGGCAATAATATCAGGCACAATGAGGCACACTGACAGAGAACAGAGCCCCCAAATACTCGAGTCCCGCCTAAATACAATAGAGCGTAAAAACTGTCGCCATATTAACCTATGAAAGGTTAACATGGCGACAGTGTTTACGTTTTGCGTAAGGAAAAGCATGGCGCGTGGTATGAGCCGGATCTTTACACGAGGCGCAAGGTGAGCCCTGAAAACTTGTCTGCTGCCCTGGAGTACTTCACGAAAGACGAGCTACAATGTTCGCGCCAAGTTCCCAACCAGAAGGACGTGATTTCTGTCATGCTCGACGGGGAGAAAACGTTCGTTTCAAAGCGCTTCCTGGCACGCTCAATCCGAGAGGCCTTTCGTGTATACAAAGACAAGCATCCTGATTCCGGCGTTGGGCTAACGAAACTTTATTTCTTGCTCCCTAGATGGGTCAAATGTACACTCTTAGAAAAAAGGGTATGGATAGTCCTCCCTTAGGGGTGGAACGGTCTTGTAACCTATGTTCCTTTAGAAAGGGAGAAACCTTCGTCCCTGAGGCGGGGGAGCAAAGTTCCTCCGTCGCTTGCATCTCAATATGGCGGCCAAGAATCGAGCAAATCGAGCCCAATAAGGCTTGACGAGGACGCTAAGTCTCTTGTACGGGACGAGAGCCGCAGCAAATGAAAGCGTAACACGAGCTTTCCCCAAACTGTGTTTATTTCCGAAGCCAGATTCCCCCCACAGGTACAGAAATTTCGAAAGCAGTTACTCAGTCTTCTCGTCGACAACACTGCGATGTTAAACGGAGACAACCGATACCCAGTTACTTCGCGCACTTTGCGTCTTACGTTTGGTGTTCCTCGAGTCGCAATTGCTTCGTCAGCCGCACATCAGGAAGAAGGGCAAACTCAATCCGCGAAACCAAAAGCCGCTCTCGAAAGAACAAGCTCGAAGCCGCTGTTTGTCGCGTAGCGTGAAAGAAAGTTAAATCGCTAGCCACCAGATGACGGGGTCAAGCAGAGTAATTACAAGTAGCTAGGCTAGATGGCGCTAGGTACCACCAAATTCATGTTTCAATAATTTGCTTCTCTCAGGCCACTACTGCGCTTGGGGATCCGCTACTATACACACATTACGCTTATTACAAGCATCAGGTGAACATACATTGAGCACATACACGGCGCACACAAATAGCAATACAACGGAACACCACACTATACCGAACACTACACCCGTCCTCTGCGTTTCCGTCTTTTATACTGGTCGTTTTGAACGTACGGAACTTTTCGGTGACTCCCTAAGCAATAAAAAATATACCCAGCATGTTGATTTTTTCCCAGCAATGTCATACCTCTGAGAGTATTTTGAATGGCTCAGGGGATGAATCTCATATTAAAAAGTAAACGCTCGATCATGCCGTAATTACTTGAAAGGTAATAAATCAAGCCGCTCCAATGCGGTTCGAAGCCATGAGTTTGTTTCCCTACACGGCACGTCGTAGCCTGTATATCTATTGTAGTGTTTGTTTTTCTATTTGTGCTGTTCGCGCAAGGCTGCAATTGCCGTCTTGAATTAATTTCTGTAGAGCGGGTATTCACTCAGCTGGAAGTGATGCTTCACGGGCTAAGAAATCGCTTTTCGATCAACTTGAATGCAGTCAAAGCCGCGACTTGCGGCAGATGTTAAGTGTACGGAGCTACGCCGTGGCGAGCCCGAAAACTTCTAGCGCTCATCCCAGCGCAACGGAGGGCAGTTTCTCCAGGAACCGTAGTATATTTAAACAGCAAAATAAAGGGTAGCTTTTTTTTCTTCGATTTTACCTACTATTGTTTTTTAATGCCGAAACTCCATACTGTAAATATAAGTACTTTCCGTCACGATTTAGTACTGTTCAGTCCTTGCCCCAGAGCATAATCGCTCTCGGGGACGAGACGATTCCGACAGTCAGATTGGCCACTGTACGATAGCAGCTTCTACTGTTCAGACCAGCGTTCCAACATGACTATCCGCACGTTGATAAATTGCACGTAATCCCTGAAGTGGTATTAAACTTTTTAATGTAAAGCGGAATGTCAACCTGCGACACCCCGCCCCCTCCGATTACGGCCCGACCAGCGGCATCAATGCCCAACAGTTTACGATCTCATCTTCTTGTTACACCACTGATACGCGAACACACGGTCACATCGGTGATAATTCCAGTCTTCTGTTCACAACCCACAGCACTGCCATCACGATGTTGCAGCTATGTTGCTGACACGCACAAACAGAACCGAACTCAGGGGGGAAGGCACCCAGGCAGCCGGCAGCAAAACGTGCCTGTCTTGGACGCAGTTCCTGCGGTTTCCATAACGTCGAAAACGTCGACA